GGGCGATAGGAGAGGTTGATAGGGAGGGGGTTATAGGGGGCATATAGGGGGTTATAAGGGGGGTGATAGGAGGAGGGTGAAGGGATCATAAGAATTATATAGATGGAGATTAGTGTAGGTTGAATTATCATTCATGGCAGCATTAACCACTGGATGTGGTAGGTATTGCAGTTAAGGCCTGCTATATGCAGGCTCCATTGTAGATTGTTCTTCCCCAGGTGGTGTAGTATAATAAAGACTACTAGAAGTAAAAACTCTAATTGAAGTATTTGTTTCAACTGGGGCCAGTTGGAGCTATATAGAACATTAATGATGAGGAAGAAGAGAAGAAGGAAAAATACCAATCAATAAAGACAATATGAAATTTATTTGGGACCTAATAACATTCATCAGAGGAGTACTAAAATCAAATAAGATGCAGACTATTAAGAACAGGAAAACATTATCTCATAGGGTTATGAATATATATATATCTCCCTTTTACAACTGTTTTAATATCTCTATTTCTGTTTAATCTGAATTGACGATTTAACACTACCTTTATTTGCTGCTTGTTTATCACCACATCACGTTGAATCTGTCATCCTACCTGCTCAGTGATCTTGTGGGTGGACTTTCTCAGCTGATACTCATACTTCTGTGCCCGATGCCGCGCCCGTTGAAACTGTTCCTGGAAGCTCTTCCATTCTTGTGCAGACCATCGACTGCTGGCACTGCTCTGAGACTGTTGCTGCAGTGATTTCATATGCTGCCAATGATGCATATATCGGGTGTTATATTCCCACACCTTCCGCTCTTGTTTCTTCAGAGCCTGGAGCTGCTTTACCTCCTGGATATACTGCTGGCTCAGTGACTCAGGATCAGAATCCGGCTCGGTGTTAGCTATCTTCTGTACTGGCTGTGGACCACTCTGCCACTGGCGGGACCGTTGGGCGAACTTCAGTGACTGGATGGCATCATGCTTGCTCTGGATGAGCCTCTGTAGATAGGACTGGAGGTGGGACTTCCACCATGCAGGATCATGCTGTGGAGTGCCTTGGTGCTCTCCCCGTCTGTGGGACCGTATCTGGTACCATGGCGCAATGTCTGGGTACTCTTGCTGTACGATCAGCTTTCACACTTCGGCCTATCACTTGGAACAGGAAGAGTATCATCACGCCTGGCGGGTCTCCTTCACAGGGTTCCCGTGGCTTCATTCATTAGGAAAACAATCTAATGGAGTTCGTACTTGCTTAGAAATTCTTGAGTCATATACCCTGCGGAGAAAAGAAGATTTGCTCCCTTCTCTTTACTGGGTGTAGT